GGGAGGCTGGAGGGGCCTGGGGTCGTGACATGGATCCCATAGGGTCAGGGGGTGCCATAGGGCCAGGGGTTACGTGGGGTCAGGGGGTCATATAGGGTCCTGTAAGGCCCCAAGATCCCATGGGGCCAGGGGTTACACAGGGTCAGGGGGTCCCACGGGGTCCCAAAGTTCTGTAGGGTCAAGGGGTCCCATAGGATCAGGGTGTCCCAGAGGGTCAGGGTGTCCCATGGGGTCCCATAGGGTCCCAGGGTCCCATAGGGTCAGAGGTTACACAGGGTCAGGGGGTCCCATGGGGTCCCAGAGTCCCATAGGGCCCCAGGGTCCCATAGGGTCAGAGGTTACATGGGGTCAGGGGGTCCCCCAGGGTCAGGAGGTCCCACGGGGTCCCAAAGTTCTGTAGGGTCAAGGGGTCCCGTGGGGTCAAGGGGTCATATAGGGTCCCATAGGGCCCCCAGGGTCCCATAGGGTCAGAGGTTACATGGGGTCAGGGGGTCCCCCAGGGTCAGGAGGTCCCACGGGGTCCCAAAGTTCTGTAGGGTCAAGGGGTCCCGTGGGGTCAAGGGGTCATATAGGGTCCCATAGGGCCCCCAGGGTCCCATAGGGTCAGAGGTTACATGGGGTCAGGGGGTCCCCCAGGGTCAGGAGGTCCCACGGGGTCCCAAAGTTCTGTAGGGTCAAGGGGTCCCGTGGGGTCAAGGGGTCATATAGGGTCCCATAGGGCCCCCAGGGTCCCATAGGGTCAAGGGGTCCCATGGGGTGAGGGGGTCATATAGGGTCCCATAGGGCCCCCAGGGTCCCATAGGGTCAGAGGTTACATGGGGTCAGGGGGTCCCCCAGGGTCAGGAGGTCCCACGGGATCCCAAAGTTCTGTAGGGTCAAAGGGTCCCATGGGTTCAGGGGATCATATAGGGTCCCATAGGCCCCCCAGGATCCCATAGGGTCAAGGGGTCCCATGGGGTGAGGGTGTCCCATGGGGTCCTACAGTGTCCCCGGGTAGGGGGTCCCCCAGGGTCAGGAGGTCCCACGAGGTCCCAAAGTTCTGTAGGGTCAAGGGGTGCCATGGGGTCAGGGGGTCATATAGGGTCCCATAGGCCCCACAGGATCCCATCGGGCCAGGGGTTACACAGGGTCAGGGGGTCCCACGGGGTCCCAGAGTTCTGTAGGGTCAGGGGGTCCCATGGGGTCCCATAGGGTCAGGGGGTCCCATAGGGTCAGAGGTTACGTGGGGTCAGGGGGTCCCCCAGGGTCAGGAGGTCCCACGGGGTCCCAAAGTTCTGTAGGGTCAAGGGGTCCCGTGGGGTCAAGGGGTCATATAGGGTCCCATAGGGCCCCCAGGGTCCCATAGGGTCAAGGGGTCCCATGGGGTGAGGGGGTCATATAGGGTCCCATAGGGCCCCCAGGGTCCCATAGGGTCAGAGGTTACATGGGGTCAGGGGGTCCCCCAGGGTCAGGAGGTCCCACGGGATCCCAAAGTTCTGTAGGGTCAAAGGGTCCCATGGGTTCAGGGGATCATATAGGGTCCCATAGGCCCCCCAGGATCCCATAGGGTCAAGGGGTCCCATGGGGTGAGGGTGTCCCATGGGGTCCTACAGTGTCCCCGGGTCCCCTGGGGACAAACAAAGGGCTGTAGGGCT